AAAAAAAAAAAAAAAAAAAAAAAAAAAAGGAAAGAAAAAAAGAAAAAGAAAGCTGCAAAGGCATTCATTGTGAATATTCGTCAGAGATATTGCTAAAAACTAGGTTGGAGTAAAGACTGAACCAGGTTTTTAAAAATAAGTATCATTTCTGATTTGTCATTAGAGACTAAATAAAACATTATTTAAAAACAATAAAAAAGCACTATACATTGGTTCCAAACACTATAATATACATCATCAAATTTTTGGATCATGTTTACATTTCAGTAAGGTATTTAGTTATGCTATCTAGTTATTTATGCTATCTAGTTTCTGTGTGAGTGTTTAAAATAGTTCCAATCATCACATGATTAAATTTTATTTAAGTTATAATCTCAAAGATCTGTTGAAGACAGTACTAAAGAATGTAGATTTTATTTAAAAATTCTTCTTCCATAGGAAATCATAACTTGCAATGATTTCGTACAGAAAGTGATTATTCCTATGTAATTAATTCACTTACTAATACGTCCCGTAGGTAACTGATTTGTTAATATATTTTCTCCTGTACTAGAATATAAGTAAGGTTCTAGAATGTAGGACAATGTCCTATTCAAATGTTTATGAAATCACTATCCATGCATATATATGACTTTTTAGGCTGACTCATTTGCTCTTACTGTTACTATAATATAAATATGATACAACTGCCCAGGCATGGTGGCTCACTCCTGTTATCCCAGCACTTTGGAGTCCGAGCCAGGCAGGAGTTCGAGACCAGCCTGACCAATATGGAGAAACCTTGTTTCTACTAAAAATACAAAATTAGCCAGATGACGTGGCACATGCCTGTAATCCTAGCTACTCAGGAGGCTGAGACAGGAGAATTGCTTGAATCTGAGAGGGGGAGGTTGCGGTGAATCAAGATCTCACCATCACAATCCAGCTTGGGCAACAAGAATGAGACTCCATCTCAAAAAATAAATAAACAAATAAGTAAGTAAATAAATACGGTACACCTTTGAGTTATTATTTGTAACTCCAAAATTTGAAATTTTAATATGAATTTCTTGGTATTGTTTTCTTTCTATTCTTACCTACTTATCAAAATTTATCCAAATGTCCTATTGCAGAATTACTGTATAGAAATAAAAGGAGACAATGGAGAACACAGGAAGCAATGCTTTTTGGTTGTCAATATCAGAGCTCATGTGCGATTACACACAAACTTTGCAGGATGCTTACTGTCATGAGATGGTGGAAATGAGGAGGAGATTATAATGAGGAGATATAAATTTAATAGGTCCTATCAACAGAATTGATCCTGAAGTTTTCAACTGTGGCTTAGTCAATACTGCAATGAACTTCACCGCATGAAATAGAAATATGTCAAACTTTGTCTTGATAGTTTCACAGGTGGTGTAGATGTCTAGTTTTGCTTCTAAATTGTTAGAAGCCCTGTTGTATGGCCAGTAACATCCTGGAGTTTCAATCTCAGCTTGGGTCTTAGGTACACCGTAATTCATACCTGAAGATCTAATGCTTTAAGATGATTGACAAAATCATTTAAATTTGATCTTTTGTGTTTTAAATCTAAATCAAGACTAAAGTAAGCAACTAATATAAATGTTGCCAAATTCATATGGAGCACAATAAGAAGGAGAAATCAAGACATTGAAAATATGGTATTGAATGAGGATTTCTGCTCTCAAAGAATTTATGATATACAAAAACAGTTATGTAATACTTGGTATGTCTTCAATCAACTTCAGAGATTTTATGCTTTGCATAGAAGTCCTTGCATAGTACCTACGCTTTCAAGATGTCCATGTATTTACAAAATATTAATATAATTACGATTTTATTTCATCTCTTTAACACATTGAATGTCTTTTTTTCTTTTTCTTCTGGAAAATAAAACTTAACTTTGGGTTAATTTCAGCAATATTTTCTCTTTGCAGAAGCATCTAAAGTTATAAAATGATCTTAAAATCCCAAGAGAGAGAGAAACCTGAGGATAAAAATTGCTCATTATTAATTTTTTTTCATAAAAATGCATCCACCAATATAATTCTTTAATTATATTCATAGACATTTTTAAGGCTTTAAGAACAGTCAATGGCATTATATTTTTTATTTTAAGACTTACTTAAGAGATTTTTAAAGAGATTTCATTCATTTTAATAGTTAACCTATAAAATATAAATTAAATTCAAAAATGCATAATTAATAAGAACATAATTAATAATGCGAGCAGATGTGTAAAAATAGACATGTTCTTCACATATACCACCTGTTTCTGTATTCCTAGTTTGAAATTTAAGTGTCCCAGACCTCAATCTTAACTTGAAACTATTCAATTTGCTACATTCCAACCTCATGAAGATGTTATGAAGAACAAAAAACCATTAAGTATTTTAAATAAAAATAACTTTCCTATACTGACAAATACATATGGTTTTTAACAAAATACTCTTATACTAAATGTTGTTTGTTTTGCAACCCAACAATTTATATCCATATGCAATTTTACAGTCTTGGCAAATTAGACTGTAAAAACTTTTGAAATAATATCTATTGTTTGTCCAGCATTTGAATGTGCAATAATTTCACCATACCGCTACTGGCAGAAAGTAGAATATTGGGAGGTTTATTAAACACTGAAAATCTGCAAAACAAATTAAGTTGAAGTTATTTAATACAGATGTTTTAAAAATCAGATCTATTTCAATATTTAACCATATTCACCAGCCTTAAATCTTGTCTTTGGCATTTGTTGTGGAATCTATAAGGCTGTCATATAAAAGTAACAGAAATATTGCGTATGATTCAGAAAATTATCTGCTGTGGGTCTTCAGATTTTTAATGCACACATATTTGGTTTCAGACTTAAATCATTTGGTACAAATGGTGGAGGTATAAAACAATTACATGTGATTGTCTGGAAATAATATTCATTTTAAATCAAGAATAGTGTCAAATGCTATCGGGGTGGGTCAATCTGTGAAGAAACCATAAAGGTGAGAAGAAGGATCTTACTTATTTTAGAAAGTGTAGTGATGTATTTGTTATCTTGTTGCCTTTTGTTATTTATAAAATAATGTTAAAGGAAAATTAGTTGTATATTCTCATTTAACTATGAAAAATTTTTAAAAATTGTGACATTGTTACGAATAAATTTTTAAATTATCCCTTTAAAGATGCTAAATCTTCTACCTTCAGCAAACTTACTTTGTTAGGGGTAACCAACGTGAATCAAGTCAATAGTTCTCAAGTGATGGTTGGGACACTATAGGAAGTAAAATACCTTAGTTATAGATTAGTAGTGGTGTGGTACTTCCTTTAGTTATGGCAAATGATTTACTGAAAAGTGCAAAATTCATTCCTCTACCTCTACTAATAGAGGTGTTCCTGCTGTCCTATACAGTTTGGTAAAAAGTCACGTTACATTTTTGCTGACACACATTCTCAGGATGCCCCAAGAGCTTAGTAAATGCCAAACCCACTCAATTGAGAATAAAAGACATGCAGAGAGTAAAGGTATGTTGACAAAAGTCCAAAATATATATAAGTTTTTACCTTGAATGATTCCATTCTCTCTTTCTCCCTTCTATCTTTGATTGGACAATTATGAAAAGGGACTCTGATAGCTTCCTGTGAATATAGCTAACTAAAAGCTATTTTTAACAGAAATAACATGAACATACAAGGCCATATTCCTTGTTTTGTGTTCATTTAGATTCAATTTTATTGTGGGTCCTTTTAAACAGGGCACATCTGTTATCTCAGAGTTGGCTCTTTCAACACTCTAACAGAACAAGGTAAAAATCTTCTTCATCTGAAGATTTTGTTGTATAATGGAAATTGGGCTAAATTTGGATTTCTCTAATGTTCTGTAAGTTATTTCAGAGTAAAGTTGCCAAAAATTACCCAACCATCACTGTAAGGTTTTTGTGAGCTAGACTAGACTATGGAAATACATTTCTCTGTCCCTCTTCCCCTACCACTCTACAGTACAATGGCCCATCTGTGAGGTCAGAGGGACTAGCTCTACTTTTAAACAGAGAGTAATTTCTAGCCACTTGTGTATTTAAAAAACTATAAAATCAATGTCAAACTGCTCAATCATTTCCTTCTCAAAATAATTGACCTAAAGTTCAGAAAAGGGCAAGAAAGGCAAACCTTTAGGCACAGCAAGAGAGGATTACTCTCAAAAGCAATTTTGTTTTAAACATTTTAAGTATATCTGGTGTGTGCAAGAGCCCCCACCCCATAATTTCTCATTTAAGAAATCACATTTGATGATGTAACTTTAATTATAGTAAAATGTTTGGAGGCAATGTCTAATTTATATTTATCTATCTATGTATGTATCTATCTAATCTATCTATCTATCTATCTATCATCTATCTATCTATCTATCCGTCTGTCTACCTGTCTATCTCAAAAATAGGGGGATGAAACATTAGTATAAGAAAAGGGGGATAAATGCCAAGTGACTTAAAAGATGATGCATTGTTTAAAAAATCATGTTACCTAGTATACTTCTTCCTTCCCCTAATTCCAGCTGTAGTAAGTTAAGGATTATTATAGAGTTCTGTCACTATTCTAATACTATTTGTATTAGGGGCATCCAGCTATTGTCAAGGTGTCTTCAGTCTCTCTTTGGTTGTAGAGGTCTCAATATTTCAAACCTTGGCTCTGAGTCCAGGTCCACTGATTCCTAGAGATTTGTGAAGATGTTAAAGGTGGTTTATGAGCTTTTTACAATGTTTCATAAAGCTCCATGGACTCTGAAGGTTGTTTAGAATTTTCCCTAATTTGACCTCCCAATCCATTTTCAAATTATTATCTCGGTTTCTCTGACAAGCCAATATGGATGAATGAATGGTTAATTTAAAATGCTGCTACAAAAAAAGTGTCTATTTTTTTTCTACTTTAAAAATCCTGTTTTTGAAAAGCTTGCCAATCACAATTCTACAAAGCTGAAGAAATCACTTTAAACATCATTATTTTTAAATGTGACAAAATAGAAAAATACCACTAGCTGTGCTTCAAACTAAAGACTTACCTCAGGAAAAATGCCATGTTTTATTACATTTTGAATCTATGTACAAACGATTAGCAAGGACTAGTTGAAAGCTGGCCTGGGAAATGATGGCATTGGAAGTTCTCCAGTGAGAAGTTGAAGGTAGCTAAGGTGCATCTCTTCTGGCTTTCCTCTGCTCCCATTGTTGCTTAGTATTATCCTTTCTTTCGTTGAGTTAATCTCCTGTAAATTCATGGGCTGGTTCCAGGGGAGGCTGTAGATCTGGCATCTAGCTAAAGGCTAGAGGGCTTAGATATAATTATTCCTCACCATGAATTTGGTATGTTTCCTTCTAGAGGCATTCATTCAGACCCAGGTTATGCCTAGCGGAGCAGCAGCCAGAGGAATTCAGACCACAAAGTACAGAGAGTGTAAGGTAGTAATAACTCTGTTCACCCGAGATGCTTTGCCTGAAAGGACCCTTTCACAGCAGTGAGTAGGTCTGAGATGTGACCAGAAAGTACGGACTGCTAGATTGACTGCATCATTTCTCACCTTCTAGAACAGCATCAGGCTACAGAATTCTCAACAAATTTGAGAGCTATTAAGAGACAATTTGGAACACCATTTGTATGTGTTGCTACAAGCAAAGTAATTCTCTGGTGATTGAATTGATTTAGAATTCTGGCAGCTTCACAAATATGTATTTCTAAACTTGAATTCGTTTCACTATTTTACATTTGAGAGAAGCTTAAAAAATAATTTTTAAAATATCTAAAGTTTGGACAGAATAATCAGTTGGTACAGAAGTTTGGAACAGCAAATATATACAAATTCTCCATTTGTGAGATGATGAAGGATAATGAAGATGGCAGATACACATATTTCTACCATAAGGATCTTAATTTGTAGGTTCAAATACAATATATTATTTTATTAACAAACAGCTTGAGGTTGTAATCTGAAGAACTAGTTGATGATATTTCTCTGCAACTGATATGAGGCATCCCAAAGATTCTGCCAACAGCATTACAAATATAAAGTATTTTTTTACCTGTTATCTTAAGAGACAACTTCTTGATAAGGGAGTAGTTCTTTGTTTCAGAGAGTAATATTTACATCGAAGGTATTTTCTGGTTTCTTTCTTCATTTTATATGTCTCTATTCATGTTGTTAAACCCATATGAGGGCTCAATCTACTCTTTGATCACCTTTCTTCCAACTTTAAACTGCATGAAGAGATTTCATATAATTTGATGGATCATGAGTCATATTTTGATGACTAATGGAAAACTGAGTTCCTAAAGATGCCTGGCAGTTATAGAATTGAACATACTACCTAGTAAACTTAGCTGAGGGCCTTTAAGCATTTAAATGACTTAAATACTCAAAGTAGGCCCTTGCCAGTGCTTCTAGTCTTTGTCAACAGAAAAATGTGTTCATTCATCCAACCCATCTCTATTGAGTGGCTAATGTATGCTGGCACCCTGATGGGCACTGTTCCAGAAAATCTTTGAGAGAAACATCTTAGGAATTATTAGGGAACAAAAAGGAGTCAATAGGATGGAATGATTTTAACGTTGAAAAAGTGACTTGGGAATCTATATTCCAGGTGTAAGAGGGTTACTTTGAGGATGAGTTAAGTAGAGAGGGAATTTAGAAACCTGCCCTCTTCATTATTTTCACTGTGGAGTGACCATGTTTTCAGCTCCTGAGGCTGAGGGCCAGGGCCAGGCCCTTAATGAGGAGCTGTGGGCCAGCCTCTTGGAGATTTCTGCTAGTTGCTTTCCTGGCCTTTTCTACTCCCTCCTCAGTACCCCCACATCCAGGATCAGAACAGAATCAGCTGGAAAATTAAATTACTCACCCTCTTAATGTCAGCTCCCATAAATTTCTTCCTCCTCCTCCCTCAGAGTACAGTTCAACTCTGTTAAGAGGCAAGCCCCTGAATGAACCTAGCGCTGAATTTAAACATTTACGAGAGAAACATGTCCGTTTCAGATCTCCAAAGAGGACTTTCCTACAAGCTCTGGGTATTGACCTCTAGGGTCCCTCCATGCCACCTTCGTTCTTGTCTTCTAATTATCGGGTTAAAAAAAAAGAAAGAAAGAAAACGCTTTTCGGAGTCAGCAACGCAATGAGCCCACTGCTTCCACGTCTGCCATACGAAGCAGATTTTTGCACAAGGATAAGGTTACCGCGGCCAGCCCAGGACTCCAGCGGTGTGGCTGATCGGGCGCTGGACTCCTCCCCTCTCCCGCCGACCGGCGAGAGGCTAACAGACGGGTGCAAGTAGACAAGTAGCTGTTTTTATTGAATACAGAAGCGCCTTGAAAACTCCGGTGCTCCGGGGCTCTCCTGCAATTCCTTTCATTCCCAAAGCGCTGGAGCCAAGCACGCGTCCCGCGTAACTCCCTCCCATTTCTTCTCGGGGATTTGGGTAGGCGAGGAGGGAGGAGAGGAGTGGGGAGACAGGGGGTGGGCTGGTGGGCTGGGCCTGCCCGGAGTCCTCATTCCTGGGCTGAGGGAGACGGGGGCGGGCTCGGGGCCGCCCCAGAGGCGTGTGATTGGGTCGGACCCTCAGCCGGCTTGTCAGTTTCGGCCGGGGTGGGGGAGCCCGGGGCAGGGAGGGGAGTGGGCGGAGGAGGGGGCTGCCCGGAGCCGCTCGTCCAGCCCACTGACGGCATGAAGCCTTTAGGGGCACACAGTACTCTCAGCTTGTTGGTGGAAGCCCCTCATCTGCCTTCATTCTGAAGGCAGGGCCCTGCAGAGGAAGGATCCGAGGGTCCCGGCCGGCGGGGCCGACCCAGAGGGAGAGGAAGGGGCTAGAGACACGAAGGAAGCAAACCATCAAATTTAGAAGAAAAAGCCCTTTGACTTTCCCCCACTCTCCCTCCCCAATGGCTGTGTAGCAAACATCCCCGGCGATACCTTGGAAAGGACGAAGTTGGTCTGCAATCGCAATTTCGTGGGTTGAGTTCACAGTTGTGAGTGCGGGGCTCAGAAATGGAGCCGTGGTCCTCTAGGTGGAAAACGAAACGGTGGCTCTGGGATTTCACCGTAGCAACCCTCGCAATGACTTTCCTCTTCCAAGCTAGAGAGGTCAGAGGAGGTAAGAAAAAAAAAAAAAAATGGACTTGGGGAGGTGGGAGATTGCCGTCGGTCTGACTCCTTCTGCGCCCCTCCCCCCCTTTACCCTTCCTACCCGCTCTTCAAGGGAAAAAAAAAAAAAAAATCCCTTAAATAAAATCCAGATTGTAGCTGCCACCAGATTGGAAGTGGAAACTGGAGAAAGAGATGGATGTAGGCGGGACAATGAAGGGAGAGGAGGTAGGTAGCAGGAAAAAAGATCTGACAGGCAGAGAGCCTGCTGAAAATGCCCTTCACCACTCTCCAGCCTCTTTGAAAAGAGGAAAAATATTACCTTGAACACAAGGGCAGTTATACAAAGCTTTTGTTTGAGGCACAGTCTTCAGAGCGCCCTTGGAATACATCTGGTTTCTTCAGATTCTAACTAATGGGAATATCTTTTTTTTTTTTTTTAAGGGTGAGCTGAGGGGAAATATAAAGGGTATAAAATGAACGTTGATAATGTTCTTTGTCTGCAACAAAGTGAAAAGCAGGCTGTTTTAGGTTTTGGGATATTAGAGAAACCAGGAGGATGAATCTAGAAGATTAGGCACACTCTGAGTGGGGGGTTTGGGGGGGAGGGAAGGCGGGGGGTGCAGAGAGGGGAGAATTTTCAAGCTATTTTAAGTGGACAAAAATTGGCAGATTATTATTAGGAATGGGTTCAAGATAGGGAGAACACTTTCCCCTGAATTTCAGTTCTCCCCCCACCCCACCCCTCCGCTTCTTCATGCAGGTTGGACGTGCAGTTCTCTTGGAGAATGATGAAAGTAGCCAGGCAAATGGGGTGGGGGCGGAGGACTGGGGATTGGGAGGGAAGGGGAGGGGGTATGGGGTCGGGTGGGAGGAGAGAGGTAAGGAAAAGTTCCTACGTGGCACCACCAAATATTCAGTGGCCAGACCTGCTCAGAATCCTGCAGCCCTGTCAGTACCCACGGAGGGAGAGCGACTTCACTCCTCCCCTCCGCCTCCTCCCTCCCCTTTCCCCGCCCTTTCCCGAAACGGCATCTGGCTGGAGCGGTCCGTTAGGTGCCTTAGACTCGGCTGGCAGGCGAATGCCTTTGGAGCGCAGGGAGCCCAGGCAGCTTAGAGTAGAAAGCAAGCTCTGTGAGGAGTGCAGAGAGAAGCTGGGGGATAGGAAGAGGGTGATGAGGGTAGGTCAAGGGAGATAAAAGTGGTCAAGCCCAAATGCGTGGGCTTTAGCAGAAACCTGAGTCTGGCCTTGGGCCTAGATGCCCAGATCTGAGCTCTCCCTAGTGGGAGTCTGCGCTCCTGGAGGCCGAGCTCTGTGACCAGGCCATTGCTTCCACATCCTTAGTGGCTTTCAACTTCACGAGTAGCAAGAAGCGCTGGATTATTCCCCCGGTGAATTTTCCTGGTGAATACAGCGAAAGCCTCATTAGGACTGTATTTGAATTTTCAAAGAAATTATGTTGATTAATTATGTTGATTCATTCATTTCCACATTTTCAAAGATAGATAGGTAAGAGAGTTTTTGAAAGTGAAATCCATCAAAAAGTTTCCACTTTATTTTTCGTACCTTGTCGCCTGTTGGATTGGTCAATTCTGTCAGCAGTTCTGCCCTCTGCTGGTTTTGTTTATTATTTAGAATTCCTGCATCTGCCATAGGACTTGAGGCTTCTGTAAGTCCCTCTTAACTACAGTGGTACTGGACACTTGATTAAGGAATAATGTATATGCCATTTATTTTTCAACATATCACACACGTGTATGTAAATGAGAATATTGTAATGGTAGCTGTTGATTTAAAATTATAGCAATTGAGAATTTCTTTTGTGATGGATGAAATACAAGCACTGAGGGACACTTTTGCATGGATTCAGGGATTATTTTACTGAGGATATTTTTTTTTTTCCACATTGAGCCTTTCTGTAAAGCTCTACGAATATTTTTAAAAATCAAATTGCTAGACTCTTAATGCATACATTTTCTATTTTCTGTCTAGCAACATACCTGAAACACTTTTAAACAGCATCCCAGTACCACATCAAATAATGGTGGGAAAACAACTTTCCGTATTGTTATAAAGCCAAGTAATGATAGAAATAACAAAGTATAAGGATCAGATTTTGTTGGGTTTCTTGTTGATGAAATGCCTTGAAAGTTATATGATAGTTTAGATATTTATAAGATTTTGGTATGTGTTTTATCAAACTGTTTGGTGCTTATTGCTCCTGGGAGGCCACATATTAACATAGACCCACTTTTGTAGGCATTGTTATCCCCTAATTAACTTCGAAAAGGGAATAATAGTATATTAACACTTAAAAAGAAAACATTGGCTACGAAGTCTGAATCACTATGCAAGGGAAAAATAAACCCAGCGTCCAGTTCTAATAGTAGCCTTTAGATTTGTGGTTGAAGTAAGAAGTAAGATTTTATACCAGTTTCTAAATAAAGATATTATATCCCACCATCATACTAAGACATTGATTTCACTGAGGTACAGTGATAAGGTTTGAATATTAAGCACAAAGATAATTTAGAACAGATCTGATTTTTATATAAAATTAAAACATTAAAACCTTAAAAATGTCTGGGTTCATAACAAAGTTAGACTCTAAAGAAAATAACATAGAGAAAGATTCTTGGAAGTGAATGTATTAAAGAAAATTTATGACTTCATACCTAGTCATATTATTTTACTTTGAAAAATCAAACAATAATATAGAAATATTTAATATACTTATTAAAAATCAATTCTTGCTGTGATTTAGAATAACAAGGTTAATTGTGATATTTATAAATATTTATTTATATTAACTTCAATTTTATATTTCATATATATGTTTATTGTTAAAATAAAAGATGTATCTCAGTGATTTATTGATATTCTTTGGCAGTTAGTCCATTACTTACTATTCATAAGAGGTGGGGTTTATGTGGAATTCAAAGTGACCACACTATGATTATGTTAAGATAGATGGGCTTATATAAGGGTTTTAAGTAAGAGTTTAAGTGAGACTTAACTATAATCAAATACTAAAAAAGAAAATAATCGAATAATGTTTTACTAATTAAAATTACATTTAACATTTGATGGTTAGGCCAATACTGCATCTTGCAAAAGGTTGATCAAACTTGGAACTTGGAAAGCTTGTCAGGAATTGCATGTGAGCCCTGTAGAATTGTTGTTTTGAGTGCCCGGGATCAGCAGGTGAAATGGTGCTGGCTTCCAGAGTATATGCTAATCCAACCTTGCAAAGAGATCAAATTTGTCCATTTGGTTCCTTAATCAGAAATCAGAAACTCAGATATGCTTCTGATAACAAATGCAGTGTTTGCTAAGATTATGAATATTATGTCTTTCCATCTGTTTTTTAAATTCAAAATTGATCGGGACTATAATAAATATTGTAGAAGAGAAACACCTTCCTGCATGCTTACACACATAGCCTCAGGTTAGGTGACACATACGTAGTCAGTTTACTGCAGATTCTTTCACCTAATTGTCCAATCATTTTGAAATTAAGTTTCTTAATATTATAAAGTGACAATTTGCTTCATAATTAGTGCTTAACTGAGGTGCTACTTTATAAAAATTATTCTCTAAAAGGTATTTTTATAGTTTTATGTTATGCATTTGCAAAGTGAGACATGTATTTATATAACATGACTGCTTAAAAGTTAATTTTTTTAAGTTTTTGATTTTTTCTTCAATTTGTGACTAAAATGGAAGAAACACAGGGTTGTTCAAGTTAAGATATCCATGAAATATAGCAAAGGACACATCTCCTCTTTTCAAATTTGTGGGTTGGATTTCTAGCTAAAAAAAATGTATAGTCACTTTTCTTTTCTAAAAATTTGCTTTTTCCTGAGATAAATTCTCTTCACTCTTATTAGTTTAGTGAGATTATTAGTTTAGTGAGATGCTGCCTATTTCATAATAACAAGGACTCAAATCAAACTTGGTTAAGAGTCTTTGTGTAATACAGAGCTAAATTTTTAAAAGGTTAAAAAAGGCATTTAGATAAGATTTTTAAAAGAGAATGCTAGCACTAGAAATTATAGAAATTGCTAATGAATCTTACCTTCTAACTAAATGAGGAAACTAAGACACAAAAAGTTGTCAGCTGAATACTCTCCTCCATAAAAAATATTCATATACTATTCAAGGTTTCTCTGAGTAGAGTGAAGATCTGTAATAGTGATCAAAAGAATTTTAAATAATAGAAGTCTGAGATGATAAAATGGCAGGAGAGAACTTAGTAGTGTAAGTTCTAATTAAAGCTTTAGTTTGGATTATTAAAACATCTGAACATAAGTACCTTTTAGCTCAGGAATAAATGGACAGTTAATTTATAGGAAATACTCACTCTTAATAGACTACCATGATGTCTGTTGTGCAATCAACAACTATTACAAATTTAATTACCATATGTGAAATTGCAAGGAAGTAAAGAAGGAAGAATTCCATATACTATCTCTACATTTATTTCTAGAAGTCTGAAATTACTAGACCATATATGTGCTAGAGTTCAGATTAGTGAGAAGGTAGATATACTGAAAATGCCTTACATAAAGAAATTTGAATAGAAAACGGTTATAGAATGCATTTTAAAAATACTCTATTTGCTACATTTGAAGAAAGGTAATTTTTGATCATTTGTATGCCTAATTATTTGATTTTATAAGATTATGTGCATCAGAGTGGAAAGCATAATACTCTATAAAATATTTTTGTATACATTTGTTGCTGGATTAAGAACAGAGTTTTGTGTGTTCTCTGAAGTTGTTAATGGAAGACCAGGTCCAACTTTGAATTTTTAAGACGCTAAGAAAATTATATATTTATTTCAAATAAAAGATGGCAAATATCTGATATTTTCATGTTAACTTTAATTGATTAGATAACATTTGTATAATATAT